AAGGAAGGAAGGAAGGAAGGAAGGAAGGAAGGAAGGAAGGAAGGAAGGAAGGAAGGAAGGAAGGAAGGAAGGAAGACAGAAAACGAAGTCTGTGACCAATTAGTGAGGTCTTCATAGGTCTGAAATAGAAGTTTGATTTGCATGCTGTTATTTTCCACCACCCTTTGAGTACACAGACAAATTCCCATATCCTAGAAAAATACTTAATCAGTTAGCTATGGTCACAAGAAAAAGAAACCCCACGAAACTCCTTTGGCATCTAAAAGCCAGCATTTATTTCCCATGGGTCTCTGTAGCTCAGCTGGCCCCGGCAGGCTCAGCTGGTCCAGTCTGGTCTCACGCTCGTGTTTGCGGCTGGGGACAACAGCAGTGCCCACTCCTCTCTCGGCATCTCTCGTCCTGTGTGTGTAAGCAGCATGTGACACAGCATGTTCTTCTCTCAGCACAGGGGCCTGCTGCCCAGGCCAGTTACACATCTCCATTTGTGGCACATTTATAGCTATTCCGCTGGCTAGCAAGCCACGTGGATGAGCCTAGAGTCGGGGTACAGAGAAGGTCTGCTGGCTGTGTGGGGTGGTTATCGCTGCAGGAAGAGGGTCTGGAAACCAAGGCAGCGAGTGGGCTTTGTGAACAACACCAAGAGCAGACACTCCTTTCCAGATTAACAGTCCAAGGCGTTTCACGCAATCACGACACTAATTATTAGCAATTTCTTATGATGATATGTATTAAGCAATCACTATTGCTAACTGCAGTGGTCATGCAGAGGGGCTACAATGGCCAAACCCACGATCCCGTCCTCTAACTAAAATGTCACTGGTGCCCATGAAATCACAAATCACTCCTGTTTCATTTAACCCTTACAGAAGCACATGAAACACTTCTCCCATCTTACAAAGAAACAGACTTTGAAGAGGTTTAAAAGGGGGCCAAAGCCTTGTAAGGGGTGAGGCGCGCACACTGCCCTCGGATGTCACTCTGTCCCCACCACGTCTCTGCCTCTTCCTGTTCTTTCTTCCCTGAGGATGGGAGCAGAGTCTCCTCAAGGCCTTGATGTCCGTATTTCTCTTTCAGGGCGCACCCTGGGAGCCCAGCTTCCCCAGTATTACCAGGTCCTCACAGGCCCCATTTCCAAGGTGAGTGTGGCCAGATGATGGCCCAGGGGTCCCTCCTGCCATCCAGGCCCTTGAGCCTTTCTGTGCCTTTGCTGTCCAGGTGCTGGACCACTGGTTTGAGTCTGAGCCTCTAAAAGCTACTCTGGCCACAGATGCTGTGATTGGAGCGATGACCAGTCCCCATACTCCAGGGAGTGGGTGAGTAGGGGCCGAGTAGGGGCCAAGGAGGCCCCTGGAGACTGGAGTTCAGAGACGTGTCCTGCCCAGAGTCACCTACCTGTGCTGCGTGCTAGAGACACAGTAGTCAAGGGACAGAGACCCGAAGCAAGCAGAAACCATAAAGTGTGGAACACGTTGGGACAGTGGCCAGCAGGGAAACCGGTCCTGCTGTGAGAAGGACCTGCAGCAGGGAATGTTTGGTCTGAAACAAGGGGGAAAGGAGGGGCTTGCTGAAAGAAGATGAAGAAGAAAGAGGCTCCAGGCTGGTGGTACAGCAGGTGCAGAGGCTGGAAGGGACAAGCGCTCCATTCCAGAAACCAGCTCAGTAGGGATGCGCAGTGTGAGGGATCATGGTAGGACCAGGCTGACACCAGGCGGGAGCCATGGACACCACCTGATGACAGTGGCCTTTCCCCTCAGGCGATACTGTGCAGCAAAGACTTTCAAAGGACAGGCAGCTGGAGCATCTGGCCTCTGAGACCAGGGCTCCGGGCTCCACAGAGGGTGGGCTGCAGGTGGGTGCTGAGGAGAGCCAGTGGCACTGGTCTGGCTGCGTGAGGGAGACAAGAGAGAGAGGCAGCCTGTCGTGGTGTCTGAACACCCTGCAGAGTTGACACAGGGTCAAGACTGACACCAGGCTTTCTATTGGCACTCTGAAAGTGCCCTTCATTTGGGTGAAGACACCGAAAAAGCTCAGTTGAGAGAATGGTGAAGGTGCTGGGATTAACATGCGTGCCAGAAATGCACACACGTAGAGATGCCTGTGGGAGCGAGACTCAGGCTGGTTCTTGGAGGCTGGAGTCCTGTGTCACATACAAGCACAGGGAGAGTGTGTCACGAGAAGTCTCGGCACTGAGCTCATTTGAAGGATCAGGGAAAGGGCTAGGTTGGGAAGGGGGAGTTGAAGGTCCAGGGCTGAAAGGGCTATTCGCTTCTAAACCTGAGACAGGATCCTGCCTCAGCCCCTGGTGCTCTGGGCTCTTCCCTCAGGTATGTGCTGCTGCATCATGTGATGGGCAGCCTGGAGGGGATGCAGGGCGCCTGGAGCTATGTCCAGGGTGGCATGGGTGCCCTCTCTGATGCCATTGCAAGCTCAGCTACTACCCATGGAGCAAGCATCTTCACAGAAAAGGTGTGGGCCCCTCCCCCAACCCTAACTATTGGCCTAGATGCACGGTGGAAGGGATTTAGAGAGACCCTCGAGTTACTGATGAACAAAGTGAGGCCCAGAATCCAGGCTCTCACATCTGAAGACCTGGTGGCACCTGGGTAGTTGTCTGTTGTAATCTGAGCCCACTCTTCTGGCTGACCCCTCAAGTTCACCAGTCATGAAACCATGCACGGGCTGTGCTCCTTGGGGCATGGGTGGGTGGCATCAGTGTTCCCCAAGAAGCCTCTGGTTTGGGGGACAGATTGGGGGCGAAGAGGCATGAGGCCTAGGAGCCACACCCACTGGGCTTTCTTTTGGGGCGATTTGGGATTTCCCGCTGGGGCTCCAGACTGTGGCTAAGGTTCGAGTGAACAGTGAAGGCCACGTTCAAGGAGTTACGCTGCAGGACGGTGAGGAGGTCAGGAGCAAAGTCGTCTTGTCCTGTGCGTCGCCACAGGTCACCTTCTTGGAGCTGACGCCACAGGTGAGGTGGGTCAGGCAGGTGCCGTAGTGGCGTGGAATGAGGCGTGGGGAGCTCAGATCTCATCAGGGTGGTGCAAGGACTGAGCCTTGCAGGGCAGCTTGCAAAAGGTGGAGCTTGCCTCGAGGGTGATGGGGAGGTCCGCGGAGGTGAGGGGACCTAGACCACACAGCCGGCAATAGGCCAAGCCCAGGTCTAGCTTATAATTCTTTTGACTTCTCCCCTCTTGCCAACTCTGATTCTATCATCTGCCGGGTGATCTATTGCAATATTAATGCTGGGAATGGAGGCTTGGGAGTTTACTGTTTTGTTTTGTTTTGTGTTTAGCACAGTCATAAAACTTCTGGGCAGATAAGGCCTTCTCTCAGAGAGAGAGAGAGATCTGTTGTCCTTGGCTGGTTCAGCTGCTGGGGCCTATGTGTCACCTGCAGTGGCTGAGGCTCTGCTGGTCTTGACTGGACTCAGGTCTGTGTCCGGGAACTGGCTGACTGAGGCTGGTCCAGGACAGACTGCTGGAAAGACAGAGTGTGTGTGTGTTGGGGGGACTCATGTGTCCTTCAGCCTCTGGCACGGGGGCTCAAGCCTCTTCTCGGGTCTGGCAGAGGGCGACAGCCGGCAAGCCCAGCGTGCTCCAGATTGTTTCATCTGGGTCCATCTCATTTGCTGACATTGGCTAAATCCAGTCTCCCAGCCAGGTCTTAGTCAGGACTTTGGAACATGGTAATTGGTCATGTCTCCTCTGTTCCAGTGCATATTGTTAAGGCAATTCGGAAGCAGCAAGAGCTATGACTAGAAGGAGTAAGATGCATAGAAATGCCTATCCTGTCCCAAGCTGGTCATGGAGAGAGCTGCGCCCAGCTGGGACAGTGGGCCAAGTGCAGAGGAAGGCCTGCTTAGCCTAGGGTGGAGCGCTTCCGGAAGCTCTCACAGAAGAGGTCATAAGTTCTGAAGGAAAAAGAGGATCTCCTCCAGCAGAGGCTGAAGGACTGGTCTTAGCTCTTTGGCTAGCCCTGGCCTTTTACAGAGCTCTCTCCTTCCAGGAGTGGCTTCCTGGGGCCTTTGTCAAGAGGATCTCCCAGCTGGACACACAGTCTCCCGTCACGAAGATCAACGGTAAGAGATGTCTGATTGCTTCTGCCCTTTGACATGTCTTGCCTGGGAATATCCAAGTCAAGAAACCCCAGTCACACTGTCCTCTCCCTGCTCTGACTCCAACTTGTCCCCAGCTTGTCATACTTTCAAACTTCTGGCCTACTGGACAAGCAGGTCATGACTATCGAGGTAGGGACCTGACCTGGCGTGACCTTTTGGCTCCTCAGTGGCTGTGGACAGGCTGCCCAACTTCCAGGCGGCCCCCAACGCTCCCAGGGACCAGCCACAACCCCATCATCGGTGCTCCATCCACCTGAACTGTGAAGACACCTTGCTCCTCCACCAGGCCTTTGAAGATGCCAAGAGTGGCCTGCCTTCCCAAAGGTAGGTGAGACCTGGCCCTTGGGCCCCCTGCGTGCTCTGAGGCAGCAGCCTGGCCTCTTCCACCTTGCCCTAAACCTCCAGTGTCCCAGAATCTGCCTGCCTAGGTCTATCCGTGTTCCAAGAACACAAAGTGTATCTCGGACAGGAAATCTCAACATCAGAGCGGTGGAGATGAAAAGGGCGGGTGGTGGGCATGTCCCAGGTTAGTCCTGAGGAGGACAGTACTCAGAATGAGAAGAGGAGGAACTACCTTCTGGTGAGAGGAGGGGTCCTCAGATTCAGTGACAATAGAAGACATGCTCACTTACACTCTAATGTGTGTCCAAGGAGCCCCTTCATCCAGGTTCCTAGAAGAAACCCCCATCCCAGCTGTGTCGCCATCCTGGAGAGCAGGCAGGGCTCTGTGGGGCTACAGCCTGCTTCCTCTAAGTCTGTTCAACAGACCTGTGCTCTGATCCCACTCAGGGTCAGGCTCCATGCCAGGCATAGGCTGTACAGCCTGGGATGTGAAGCAGACACAAAGTTTATGATAACCCTGCTGCATAAGAGCTCACAGAGAGAGATAAACGAGAGACACAAGGCTGCTCATGTGGTGCCTACTCTTTGTCAGCTCAGACACAGAGCACCAAGGAAGACCCACGAGCTCCCCATTCTGTGCTGGCCCTCCACTGGCTAGTAAATAGTCAACAGTGTACAACGATAACTAGCCCTGAGGAGAAAAAGAAGACAGGCTGAAGGAGGTCTAGCGAGGTAACATTTGAGCAGAGAACTGAAGGAAGCGAGACAGGTAGGTTTCCTTTCCTGAGGAAGAACACCCAGAGAAGGGTAGGTGCAAAAGGCCTGGGGTAGGGCTATGCTGCTGTATCAGGAACAGAATGGTAAGACCAGAGTGGAGGGCTCAGAGCTGCAGCAGTTGGCCGGTCACAGTCCACTGCCCTGGCTTTCACTCAAGGAAAACCCGACTCTCCCTTCAGAAAGACCTCCCCGTTCAATGTGACGGAAAGAGAAGACACTCGTTGCACTTGATTCCTGCAAGCAGAATGTGAGGTGACAGGATGGTGGCTGCGGCCTAGGTGGAGGCAGTGGAAGCGATGGGAAGTGTCTGAGTACTGGGCATGTTTTAAAGTGTTTATAACGTGAGGGTGAGGTTTGCCGTTGGTCAAGAAATGGTTTGTGAGAGCGCAGCAACTGGAAAATTATGAGAAAGGCAGTGGCTTCCGGGCAGGTTTGAGAATGACATTAGGTATCAAGATTTGGACAATGACAGGAGAGGCTAGCAGATATCTGAGGTAAGAAGGAGATATGCAGTCGAGAGGTGCCGCTCTGAGAAAGGGCATGTCACGTGACTTTGAAAGCCGCTTGTGTGGTCTGGATCTGTGGGAATGGTTCCAGCATCCCCAAAGCCTGTGGCTACCAAAACCTGTGATGCTCAGGACCCTTTTGTAAAATGGCAGAGCCTGCATTTCACCCCTCACATCCTCCCGTAGACCATCAGTCATCTAGATGACTTAAAACACCTGTGTGGATGCCGGGTAAATGGCTGCCATGTGATATCATTTATAGAATGATGCTAAGGGAGAAAGTTGGCATCCTCAGTGGGGTATAGTTTTCATGCACAGAGCCCCTGGGTCCTGTCTGTCAGGTAAGAAAGGTGTTGGCTGTAGGCAAAGGTATACATGGGACACTATGCTGTGGTGCTTGAACAGGTCTGGATGCTATGCTTTGCCTGTTCCAGATAAGGCTTCAGGGCCGGAGGGGAGGGCAAGCTTGGTTGGACCCTGACTACTTGAGAACCAGCTGACTTGGGCCTGACCCCTCCATGGCTCTCATCTGGACTCCGATGGCATTTGATCTGGGAAGTGTGGATTAGAACAGGTCTGTGGGGAAGGCAGACAAGACTAGGGCACATCTGTGAGGCAGGTGCAAAAAAACCAGAGCCCAGTGGCCTGGGCTACAGGTCTGGAGGATTGTCACAGAAGTGGTCTGGACTATGCTAACTGCCACAGCTTCACAGTGATAATCATCCCAGGTTGCTGGCCTCTGAGGACCTTTGTCTCGTGTCACCTCAGAAAGGCCCCGAGCTCTTTCCCGCAGTGCCGATCCTCTCTGCTCCCCCAACACCACAGGCCTATGATTGAACTCTGCATCCCCTCATCGCTGGACCCCACCCTAGCTCCACCGGGCTGCCATGTGGTCTCCCTCTTCACTCAGTATACGCCCTACACCCTGGCAGAAGGCAAGGCCTGGGATGAGCAGGAGAAAAACACCTACGCAGACAAAGGTAAAGAATGCAATACGGGTTGCTCTGCAGGATGACAGCTGGCCGTGGAATCCACTGGCACACATGTGTGCATGCACACACAGACACACACACACACACACACACACACACATACACACACACACAGAGCCTTGTTCATGCTAAAAAGACAGGGTCCCAGTCTAGAGAACGGCGCCACGGGTAAATAGCCTGAGTTTGGAAGCCTGACGTAGAGCGGAGGGAGAAAACCAACTCCCAAAAGTTGTCATCTGACCTCTACACATGCACTGGATTTCTCTCTCTCTCTCTCTCTCTCTCTCACACACACACACACACACACACACACACGTACACTCACACACACTCACACTTCATAACACATAACATTTGTATAAAGCAGAAGCCTCCGCTCTGGGCCCCCATTGCTCTCAGTCCAGCTGGGGAGGCTGGCTGGGAGCAGATCAGCACGGAGCACTGTGCTCTATGGACCAAAAGAAGGAAGCCCTGAGCCAGAGGAGAGCAAAGCACTCAAGGAAGGAGACATTGAACTGGGTGTTCAGCAATGAATGGGGTTTGGCCCGACTGCAGAGAATGTTCCAAGCAAAAGCAACAGCTTAAGCAAAGCAATGAGAAGAAAACTCCTTCGAGCATTCAGGAGGAGACAGGTAGCATTAGGTCAGGGTAAGAGAGGAGACAGTGAGGCTGGGGTTGCTACAGGCCTTTTTGATAAAGCATTTATTTGCTCATGGACCAGTTCTCGTTTTTGCCTTTTACTTACCGGTTTATGGTTTGCATAGGACAGAGTAAATCTCTGGCTCATGTAATTCGGTAGATTTTTAGTAAACATGAGCTTACCACCCCCTTTCTTCCCCATGCTTTCCCGGGCTCCAGTATTTGACTGCATCGAGGCCTATGCCCCTGGCTTCAAGAGTTCTGTGCTGGCCAGAGACATCCTCACGCCATGGGATCTAGAGAGAATCTTCGGGCTTCCTGGAGGGGTGAGTGTGGGCCTGGGGCCTCCTCCCAAGCCTCTTCCTACATCCTGGCTGGCCCCTTTAGGCTTTACCCAGCTTTCATTAGGAAGTTGTAGAGCCCGTGGCTGAGCAGGGACGGAAGAGAGAGGACAAATACACAGGTGCCACTTAAGAAGGTCACCAGGCCTGTGGCACTGTAGAAACCCTGCCTCAACTTCCCCAACAGCCTCTTCTAAAGAGAACTCCCTCTCTGAGGATAAAGGACCTTGTAGTAAGCTTTACCAGATAAAGGAGACTGGAGGACAGAAGCCAGGAGCCTGGGAGCCTGGGATAGGTCAAAAAGCCCTGTGAGGAATCAAGGAGCCCCGGAGGAGTCAGGGAGCCCAGAGGAGTCAGGCATCCCCGGGGTTGTCTGGAGTTCCATGATGAGGCAGCCCCAACCTGGTAGCCTCTGGGACAGACCTCCTGAGTCTGACAAGGCCAGAGTGAGCTGAGTGGTCTGTGATGCACATCAATGGGAAACCCAGCAAGGACACACGTAATGCCATCGTGCTCTGCTTACATTGATTATGTACCAAAATGATCAGATTCAGAATCTATTAGACTAAGTAAAACACACTATTGACAGAAATGTCGCCAATTTGCCTTTTACCTCTTAAATGCGGCTCCTAATAAATCTAGAATCGCATGCATGACTCTGGTCATTTTTGTTGTTTTTGTTTCAACAGCGCTGATCCAGACAGAAGGCAAAAAGCCAGGTAGTGAGAGGGAGAGGTACTTCAGAGACAGATTAGTGTAAGGCAGGCATGGGTGAGGAGTGTTGACAACAGTAGGGTCTGGAGGGGGTGGACATGACATAAGGGCTGAATGAGAGGCTGAGGACAGGGTGGCAATGTGGTCGTGAAGATAGCATGGTTTGAGAGGAGCAGGCTTGAGGAAGAAGCGGTTCATGGTCCACAGCAAACCCTCAGAGTGCCCCCCCTTTCCTCACTCAATTTTCTGCACTCTGTAGAGGCCCCTACCCCACTTTATTCCTGATAACCTCTGGGAGTTTCACCCAAAGCCTGGGACAAGTCCTTCTTCTCTCCCAGCCTCTGTTAAGAACCCAGGGAAATATCCAGGAAGCAGAAGGACCTGGGTTAAAGAATGGGGAGAGGAAGAGGCAGGCAGGGTGGCAAAGCCCACAGCACTCCTACACTAACGGCTGTAGCCCTGCCTCCGCAGAACATATTCCACGGTGCCATGTCCCTGGACCAGCTCTACTTTGCCCGTCCAGTTCCCCAACACTCTGACTATAGATGCCCTGTCCAGGGCCTGTACCTCTGCGGAAGCGGGGCCCATCCTGGTGAGTGACCTCATTCCTTGTGTGGGTAGTAAGGGCTTGTGGGGTGAGAGTCATGAGCTTGCCGGCAGAGGAGGATGTGGGAAGCCATCCCTGGGTCCCAGACCCTCTGCACAGGGTAAGCACACAAGGTGTCTTTCCCAGGCCACCACAACCCTCAGCTTTGGGTAAACACCTCTTCCCACCTAGGGACACATACTGATCGGGGGTAGAGGCAGCTCCTCCAGGGGCTGTGGGAGGCTCACATTCCTTAGTTCCTCACCCGTGTCAGAGACCAGAAAAAGACCAGTAATGTTTCTCAACTTTGAAATTAACTTTGCTGTACCAACTCCAAGCCTAGCTGACTTCACTGCAGCTGGCGCGGTGACACCCTCCCTGTGCTGTGGGCACGGCCTCCCATAAAAAGCTGTGTCTCCTGCCCCCTCATGAGTCTTACGCTTCAGCTTTACCTGCTAAACTTGCCAAGTGCCCCCCGGTGAAGTGGGTAGGCTGGCAGAGAGTGACCCCCAGCTTGCCTGCCCTCCCCCAGCTGTGTGCGGACGCTGCAGAAAGCCCAGACAGTGTGGCCCTTGTTCCAGCTGTGGCTGGTCTCCGTGAGTCCCGCCCTGCCCCTTTGGGGTGGGCTTCTGAGTGGAGCTTTGGTTCCAGGAGGAGGCGTCATGGGAGCAGCCGGGCGAAATGCAGCCCACACGGTCCTTAGGGACCTCAAGAGCATGTGACACCAGGCCAGCTCGGACAACAAGGAGAAAAGTTTTCCCTGCACTTCTGAGCCATCCATCAGGACCCCTGATGCCCATGATGCCCTGCTTCGATGCCACTGGAGACAACTGCATTAGCAAGGTGCCATTGTTTCTTAATTGGGACCCTAGTTACATTTATCAGAACTTCACCTTGTCCCAGGCCTTCACGGATTAGCTGTGTTTGTCTTATTAAAAATGATGTTTTGTATAGAGACTGCTTGTCTTGTTTTTCTATGTGCAGCTTGGAGGAGCTGGCATGCCGGCTGGACACAGTCCATCTAATGAGTGGAAGAACTTGGTCCAGCTGTCTCCTTCTTGTCAGTGGGGTTCCCACTACCAACTGATTGGAGGGCTGGCCTGCTAAGGCCCAGTCAACTACTGTCATATTCCTGTCACTGTAACAACAAATTCACAGTTCCCGAGACCCACAAGGTTACGCTCAGGCCCGCACGATGAACGTGAGCAGAGCTTTGCATCTTAAAACCTCGGGTCAGGGATCAGCAGTTGAGGGTGGCTGCAAAGTGGGCTCACCAGCTGTGTGGGGTCCACCTTCCTGATACCAGAGCATTCCACCTCTGCTTGCCAGGTGCTAAATCTGTCACTAAACCTTCCAACATAAGCCTCATTCTGCAGTGAGTTGGGCTGTCACTGTCAGTCAGAGAGAAACACAGGGCCATCCCACTAATAACAACTGTACTGGCAGCCTCCATGTTAGCCAAAGGCCCCCATCCCTGCCTTTGCCCTCTGTAGGTCAGATAGAAGCTTCCTGGGGCTCTGACACCTAGCCTCTTCTGCACAGACAATCATGGTCACTATTTTACATTAGTCTTTCACACAATCAGGATACATTACAATATTCTTTTTGTGAGTCACACCTGTCTTTCTTTGAATTTGCTTCATATCAAAAACTAACCGGGATTATAAAAGCTCTTTTGTAAACAGTTTTAATAGATGTCTAATATTCCCATGTGAGAATGAACCATAATTTACCATGAGACAGTCCAGCCTTGGCCTTGATTGCCAGCAGCCCAAGGCCAGACAGCTGCTCTCTGGCACACCTTCTCCTATGTGGAGCTTCCCTAGGAAGGCCTGGCTCGAAGGCACAGCTGCTGGCCATTCTCTGGTAGCAGAGAAGGACCTTGGAGGAGGTGGGGGGGGGGGGGGTCTGGCTGTTTTAACGCTTCGAGAAGAACTTCCCTCCCTTTGGAGAGTCCCCACCGGATGTCTCACATCTTGGAAAGATACAATTTTGGTCCAGATGGAGAGAGGAGATCAAGACTTCAATCCTGTGGAGTGCCTCAAGTCCTGCAAGGTCCCAGCTCAGCCAACCCACTGAGAAGGGTGGGTTAGCCTGACCCAAAGTGATGGCTCCGCTGATTGTCCATGAATCAGGCAAACAGGTCCCTTGCTGGCTTCAGCCCATAAAACCCTTACCAGAATAAACAAGTCAGGGCTCTCCCCTTACCTGATTTACAGCTCTCCCGAGCCCCACCCCCAAGTCCCCCGAGCAGGAGGGAACTTCCTCCCACCGCAGATCCTTAAGAACCTCAAGTGCACAGGAAGCTCACCTGGTGAAGTTATTATGTCTCGCAGCGGCAGTGACAGTGAGCAGAGGTTCGGCATCATGTGAGGTTTATTGCTCCGGAAGAGAGCTGGCTATCCTGGTGGGAAGGGGGCCAGACTCACCGAGAAGCAGTCGCCTTGTGAGTTTGCACAGCAGCTAAAGGCCTGAGTTCTGGGACACTGATAGCACTCCAGTGATGGAGGACACAGCAGAAAGGCATTTGAACGGGGCTGGGGAGGGATGGAAAATTTAAAGAGAGAAGAGAGTGAAAAGCATACGGGTTAGCAAGCCTGGAAAAAAGTTAGACTGACCGGGAGTTAACTCACTGTGATACAAACCAAACGATTACAATTTATCTAGAAGGTTTTAAAAACATTGTGCTAGAAAATTAGCCACGTGGATCTTCCCTGATTTTGTTCTGTCGGCTCTGTAATGCACGTTGTCAGATCAACATTTCTAGATATGCCTTTGAATAACAAGAGGATTGAAAGATAAAGTAAATAATATTGAGCAAAGGGCATTTGCTTAGGATGTAGCGGTTTTCCAAAAGCAGTGCTTACGATGAAACAGTAAAGGAGGCCAACTTCGATTGTTCAGGGCCTGTGCAGAAATGTCAGTGGCTCAAATGCTGCCTATGACAGGGAAAACCTAGCCTTCCTCACAGAGTTGCTAAGAGGGAGATAGTGCACATAGCTTGCCAGAACATATCCATATGGCCCTCTGACACAGTGGGTTCACTTCCAGGCGACGAACCAACAGAAATGTGTTTGTGTGCTCACCTCCCCCCCCCCCCCCCCCAGGCAGGTACCTCTTGGGAGACACGCACAAGACCAAAGTGTTTTCCGATCCCTTGTTCTCTGGATCTAAGAACAGTGGCGTAGACTGACCTCCGTGAGCATCCCTTGGCAGGAGACTAAGCACCTGAACTCTGTGAGCGCTGGCCCTTCAAAGCGATGAGTTCTGGACATTTGGGATGTTAGGTTTTCAGATTAGGGTCCTTGACCTGTGCTAGTGTGCACCCCTAAACTGGAAAGCTAAACTATCCAGACAGACACCCACCAACTATAGAAGAGTAAGTTGTATGCACTCGTGTGTTGGAATACCACTGAACTATGTAGAATGAACACTCTAGGGCCACACACAGCAGCCCTATGGCAAGTCTCAGGAGCCAGACACAAAATAATTCATGCTGCAGGACCCCACCTATGGGATGAGTAAAACCAGGCTAAAGAAAGCTGTCGTGTTAGGATTTTATCTTCACTGTATGTCGGACCTTGTGGGCTGACGGAAACCCTCAGGGTGCAGGTGGTACCCCTAGTTTGACCTGTATTGTGGTAACAACGATGTGTTCTGCTTCCTAAGTCCTGGCTGTGCTGCACACTTAGAACTTTGCAGCTTCTGTGGACATACTGCACTTCCCTTAAAAAAAAAAAAAAGTGTAAAATCAACCTGGTCCCTGAAATGTATATGCCGTCACTTACTGGTGTCCTGGCTTCATAGCTGTCAGCAAAGCCCTATGTCTGAGTGAGTCTCCATGCAGAAAGGAGAATGAAAGAGGAGAAGGGAACAGGAAGACGCAAATGGGCGTGCCCTCAGGGAGTTCTTACCCATAATCCCTGCTTGGAGCCTGTCTTGTGTCATCCCCTCCCCCTGAGTGTGACTGCAACTTGTGGGTTGCTGCTGAAGCAACAGAATATGATGACAAGGGAACCTGGATGTAGGTGACAGCACACATCTTAAGGGTCTTAAGGGACTCTCTCTGGACCCTAGATCTCTGTGAGGAGGAAAGGGGCCATACTGCTAAACCCCACATGGCAATCAGCTCCAGCCGGGCTCCAGGTGACAGAAGCACTCTGTCCTGCGCCTCAGAGCACCCGGTGTTGCCGGCAGTGACCGGGAACTCGGACATCCCCAGCACAGCCTCCAGATAGTAGGGGAGCCCTGCCATTGCCTTGATTATAGCTTGTAAGGACCCTCCCAGAGGGCTCGGCTGATCTGTGCCTGGATCCTTAAACGATGCAAGCTGTCTGAGAACAAATGTGTGTTCTCCCACACTGCTAAGAAACCGCTTCAAGACCTGCAGACATGAGCATGATGGGAGAGAGCGAAGGGAGCCTCATAAAAAGAATTGAAACTGCGCCTCTAAACTCCACGATTACTCTATGACCTGGACCCTCTGGTGGCTGGCCATCTTACCCCAGGAGAGCCTGGGATAGGCCACCACTGAGGATATCAAGAAAGACCACGTGAGAGTCCACCACCACCATACCTCTGGCAAGTGCTTTGCTTAGCCAACACTCTTTTGTAAGAGGTCCTTTTGTAACTAATGGAGATGATGACCTTTCACCTCACACAGGCACACAACAAGGAAAGTTTCGTTCATTCTTTACAAAATGGTAAGCTATTGCTCACACAACCAGACCAGACAGAGTGAGAAGCACATGGGAACATTCTGGGCCCACCTGGGAGGGAAGGATGCAATGAAAGCTATCATTTGAAACAGAAAAGAAGTCCCCTCCATTGAAGGCAGAGGGCCTCTTTTCATGGGAGAGTTCCCAACCTAACAGCCTTTACCTGGGGCCTTGACAACACACACACACACACACACACACACACACACACACACACACACACACACCCCTCTACAGTAAACCACACCGACTCACACAGATCAATACAACAGGACAGGAAAGAAGGAAGCAGGCTGGGCAGCTTGCCAAAGGTAGAAGTCCTAGTGACTGCTGTGTTGTATTTCTGGGCCAATAAATCAATGTGCCTTGGAAGGGCTCCTCTGACTCCTTGGCTGTAATTGGAACTACCTTCCTCGGGGGCTGCGTTCTACTTTCAAGGTCAGGAGACAAGCTCTGGTTTTTCTGGTCCAGCAAAGCATTCTACACCTACCCCGGGCCCAGGCTCTGCAGCTGCTGAAGAAAGAGCTGATGGTGAGCCTGCCTGCAGGCTGTGAGGGGCCGGGAGAAACAGGGTGGACACTGACCCCTGATGTCTCTCCTTGTCAGATGCCACCCCGGGACACTAGTTCCTCCATTCTTTGCTGTTGGAGGACTCACTGAGGCAGAGGTACCAGCCCTCCCAGAATCACAAGCTAACGACGGTATCTGGTGCTCTTTTCCTGAGCTCTGCTCACGTGCCGAGCCGTGCACAGAGCAGACACAGCGCTTGCATTGTTCCACCTAAGCCCACAATAAACCAAGGTCCCTTAACAATGAGCCAGCTTTGTACAGCTGAGCATCAGCAAGGTGACAGGAAATATTTTGCTGGTCAGTGACCCAGTGAACTGAGGTTTTTCTGGTATTGAAAGTCATGTTCTACACAAGGAGATACACCCCACCCCAACTAGAGACAAGTGATTGCATGGTCACCAGATCCCACAGTGGCTTTCTGTGTAGGGTGGTCCACAAACGTGAAGAGGTGGTCCAGAGTCTCAGCACAGGCACAGTCTGGTGGGGACAAGAAAGAATGCACATGGAAGGGTCCCAGATGGTTCATTGTGAAGTACACCAGCATGAGCACTTGTGGATTGGAGAAATGAGCTTCCTTTCTTCCTTCCTTCTTTCCTTCCTTCTTACCTTCCTTCCTTCCTTTCTTCCTTCCTTCCTTTTTCTCTTCCTTCCTTCCTTCCTTCCTTCCTT